ACGTCAACGCTTCTCTATACTGCCAAAGTGGTGTAAAGGGGCTGTCACGCAAACAGGTCCCATAAGAAAGACCAAACGGCATCATCCCTTGTCGCCCAAGTGAATTCCGAGCGCTACAGGTTGTGTGTGTAGACACCACTCTAACTACCCCGGTAGAGTTAAAGTGGTGCAGCTCCCTAGTATGGATGCAGATCTAGCAACGTAAGGTTCTCACACTGGTGTAGCTATGCCTGTACAGAAGGAGAACAAGTTATATTGGGATAGGACAATATTATACCCACATAGCTGCACCCACACTAAGGGTTGTACTGTATATCGGCAAAAACATCACACCCCTAACAACCGTAGTTATACCAGTACAAAAACTGTGAGAGAGACCATGGGTTTGTCTACACTCACATTTGATAGCGCTCCAACTTGCTGGCCCAGGGGGGTGAAAAATCACCCCCCTGAGTGCAGCAAGTCTGAGAGCTTTAAAGCCCTAGTGTAGGCAGGCAGCGCTTTGAAGTTTCCAGTGTAGTTACACCCCAAGTCTACATGACAGACTTCTGGTGGCATAGCTGTATCAGTCAGGGTGGGTGGAGGGGGGCGGTTTCTGACCGACAGAGCTTTGCTGGCACAAGATGAAGTTCTAATGGCAACACTCTTCAGCTTGCTTCGCTCGTAGGAGAGCGGCTTTGCTATGCGGGTACAGAGCACAGCTTTGCCCGGACAGCTGCGTCCACTCTAGGAGCGCTTTGCCACTCTAGCAGACTGGTATTGCAATACCGGTAAAGTGCTCCGAATGTAGACACAGCCTCAATGAGAATCGGGCTCCAGGATTTTATCAGCTGAACAAAGAGGTGGAAAGCTTCTTAGTTCAAAGCTTGCTCTCCAAAAGCAATGAGGCATATATTTGAAAGAGAAAAGAAAAGAAAAGAAAAGAAAAGAAAAGAAAAGAAAAGAAAAGAAAAGAAAAGAAAAGAAAAGAAGCAAGATTTGGGAGGATTCCAGTCACCCCCACTGCCCCCATGAAATCAAAGCCTCAGAGAGATGAGGGAGGCTGCCAGATCGCACCACAAGGATTGAAAAGTAGACATGACATGGCCAGAACAGCAGAGGGGAGAGGATTTCTCTAGCAGCGGTCTGAAGAGGTTAAACCTTGCTGCTGCGTGAGGTCCCAGCACCATCATTCTGCCTGCGCAGTGGTTGTGCTGCTCCTTTCAAGGGTCCTTTGCATCCAGGCCGCCTCTAGCAGACAAACTGAATGACTAGAGGCTCTGTGTGCTCTGCGTGTGTTAATTTACGTCCGCCCGTAATGGCAATAATTACCCAGCCAGCCCATTCATTTGTCTAAATTTGCCCGGATGCAGAGGGAGTTGTCCACATGCAGCTTCGTCATCAACAGTGACAAACACAGGGCTCTAATCACAGCTCTCTCCGCTCTTAGGAACACGGCGCCTGTCTCGCTGATGCTTTTGTGCTTGCGAATTCGCTGCTGGGGGGAAGGGAGCTGGATCGACAGCTGAGAGGCGGAGACGATTCTCAGTTCTGGCTGCGTCAGTGGAAGTTCTGCACAAACACGGCCATCTTCACTGAGGAGTTACCTCGAGTTGTAACCCCAGGGTTGCCCCAACCCCATCCACACACAAAACCCTATCACTCCAGTGCAGTGATGCGATTCACTCAAGCGGTCTGGCCGGAGAGGGATGTACAGGCCAAAACCTGAGTGAGTGCAACTCATCGGCTGCTAACACGACCGCTCTGTAGTGTGGACACAAGACAGCAGCACGGAGTGCTTTCCCACAATTCCCCCCGTGCGTCCCTAAAGGACAGACAGGGTCTCCCACAATTCCCTGGGAAAAAATTCACAGAGCAGCTCAGCTTCCTGCAGCACAAAGGACCCCAGGATGTGTCCCCAGAAGTCCTAGCACCACACGAGCGAGTGCAATGCCAGTGTGGACACAGCAACTTGAGGGTTATTTCACAATGTGGCAGTCCTCACCCGAGCTCGGCTCACACAAGAGGAATCACTCAAGTGTAGATCACTCGAGCTAACTCTGCAGTGGGAAATGACGCAGAAAGGTCATCTATCAAACCGCAAGTGAGCACAACTCATCAGCTGCCAATACAGTCACCCTGGAATGTGGACACAGGCTAGCGCTCAAACACACCCCTACGTCTGGCTTTTTTCAACACCCACAACTGGGTCTAGATTTTTAGAAGAGTCCAGCTTCAAAGCTGGCTGGGAAACAACTCTTCCCCACCATCCCGGTGAAAAAATGCTGACAAAACATAACAAAAAGTCTCTTTTTGTTGAAAAATTTTCTGCCCTGAAAATTTTAGGGTTGTGACCATTCCCCCCCCCCCCCGGTTTTCAACAAAAACCCAAATATTTTCATGAAAAAAGAGTGCACAAATACGCGGCTTTTAAAAAAATCTGTTTCTTTTTGACGAAAATCCAAATATTTTTGTCAACAATCATCTTTTTTTGTGTGGAAAATTTTGTTTTTGATTAAAACCCCCCTGGTTTTCGATGAGTTTTTCATTGGAAAAAATGCAACGAGCAGAACTGGTTGCATTTTTTTCACTGAAAAGCTTTCACTGAATCAAAAAACAAAAAAACAAACAACCAGCTCTGCTCAGCATCCATCTAGGCACTGGAAGAAGAAACCCACGAGCAGGGGGTGGGACTGGATGACCTCCTGAGGTCCCGTCCAACCCTGATATTCTATGATTCTATGATTTGCAAGAGACTTCTGCACACAGCAGCTCCCACTGTGACACTGATGGCCAAACTTCCAGAAGAGCCCAGCACCCAACACTTATCCAATGTGCTACACCCTTGTGCAAACCCTGCCACTTTTTTAGGTGCCTAAAATGGGAGCCGAGCTCTTTGGAAAATCCAACCCCCATGGTGGAGGCTGACCCCTTGGAAATTTGTCCCGGAGTGCTTCCAAAATTCTAGCCCAACTACTGTGCCTCATTCCTAATTCGGCTGGATCCTCATGAGGGCAGAGATGGGAGCTCAGTGTCTATCGCCCATACACTCCTTGGCCCTTGTGTTGAAAATGCCCAGAAGGCAGCTAATTAATGTAATGGCTGATGTGTCTCAGTGACCACTTGCCCACTGGAAACTGGACCGAGACCCACCAAGCAGCAACCAAACGTGTCCGAGTGTTCGTCCTGGATTGGATGTTAGCAGCTGGCCTAGAGGTGAAAGGGTCTGCTAGTGATCTCCTACATCAATCCAGCCATCTCCCCCAGGCACCTATCCTGTGCACCTATAGCTCAGTGCACAACACCTAATCGTATGAAAGACTCCCTGAGTGCGGCGAATCCATGCTCCTTTCATGAAATCTGCTCCAGCAAGCTTTCCTCCTCGTGTAAATACTCCCATTGAGATCAAGGCGATTACACAGAGGAGCAGGGATTGTGTGGGGGTAGGGATCCTGGTTTCTATCATCCCCTCGATCCTATTTGCAATTTAGAGCTTTATCTCAAGGTCAAGATACCCTGCTCCATGGCCTCCTTCCATCCAGAACCAAGAGCCCCTCAGTCATGCATTGCTAATGGAAGAAGCCACGCAGTAGACTAGGGTACAGCTCACGTTAAGAGGCACCATCCATAGCTCAGTCATGATAGTGGCAGTCCCATGAGGCAACAACTGATGCCCACTCTCCTCTGGGGCAATCCCACATTTCCCTTCACTTGCCTTTCATTTGCAAGGGCAAAATACATCAAGTCATGGTGTTTAAAGGTCAGAAGGGACAACCAGATCATCGAGTCTGAATGGCTTGCAGCACAGCCCACAAAACACCGCCCAGCACCCACACACCAAACCCAACAACCGAAGTATCACAGCCCACAGGAGACTGGACTTGAATGAGCCACAGGCAGAGAACAGGAGGGACCGAGGTGCACCAGGGCCCGAGGCCCCTGATTGAGATAGACCCAGATAATCCTGCATTCACACACTGCAGAGGAAGGTTAAAAAACCCAACATCCCTGCCAATCTGACCTGGGGGAAAATTCCCTTCCCACCCCACAGATGGCGATCAGTTAGACCCTGAGCATGGGAGCAAGAACCAGCCAGCTAAGCACCGGAGAGAGAGAATTCCTCCCCTCCAATGTCCCATCCACAGCCGTGGCCGCCCCTCGTGGTTTGGAGAAAGAAGGTAAAGAAATACCTCCTGAACACATGGGAAGGGCTGGTAAATACAAACGTTTGCAGAGTGTCTACATTAGTATTTTCCAATGGGGTTGGTTAACTCGAGTTAATTGGCGCGTAATTAGCTGGAGTGACATACTGCCCCTCCTTATCATTCACGACCCAGGAGTCAGACCCAAGAAATCATGAGTTTGGCTTCAAAAATAATGAGATTTATAAAAGACAATAAATTTGGGCTTCTCTTTATTTGCAATTTGGTTTTGAGCCTTTAGGGTTCACTCACACCACATTTTCCAGCTTTTCTCCACAAGCAGGGCTAGAAACTTACTTAAAAAAAAAAAAAAAGAAAAGCTTACATTTCCACATCATCCCATGACTCCAGCAGCTGGTGCTTTAAGAGAAACACCACACAGTGTGAGACAACGGTACACCTGCGAGAGCTGGCAACACTGGAGTTACAGAAGCACCAGCCCCAAGCATTCCAAAATCATGAGTCGGGTCTAAGGAACCATGAGACTGGCTTTAAAATCAGGAGATTTTAAAGAAATAAATAAAGTTGGGATCCTTTCACTCGCCTTCTCATTTCTGAATCTTTAGTGGCCACATTTCCCAGGTTTGCTCTGCAATCTCCAGGGCTAGACACGTCCTCCTTTTTTTAAACAAAAGTTAAGATTCCCCCACCATCACACGCCTTCAGGAGCTGGGACTTTTAAGGGAGACATCAAACACGGCGAGGCTCGCCATTCTAGCAAATCTGCAGCGACTCCGGATTTGGCAACCCTGGAGTTACAAACAGGGCCTCCGACTCTAGCCTCATTGAGGGTGGGGAGAAGGGAAGGCCAGGTCTCACCTCGATTATGTCTGCATTGGTCCGGCTCTCGTGTGGCTCATTGTACTCGGTGTATTTGAGAAGCACCTTGTCCATGTCCGTGCTGGCATACTGGAACAGCTTGTTTGAGTGGTTGAAGATGATCAGGGCGATCTCGCAGTCGCACAGGACGCTCAGCTCATAGGCTTTCTTCATCAAACCGAACTTCCGCTTGGTGAAGGTCACCTGCAGGGAGAAGGCAAGAGATTCATAGACTCATAGATAGATCCTGCAGCCTGACCTGCTGCCTCACAAAGGCTGCTGAGCTCCATCCAGTTTCCCCCGGACTGAGCCCAGTGACTTGTGTTTGACTAATGTGTCTCGTCCAGAAAGGCATCCAATCTGGATCTGAAGGGGGGTGGAAAGACTTTGGATCCATGTGGTTTATGTGGGTAATGGATCTCCTGACTGGGCCAGCCATGCTGCTAGCATGGACAGAAAGGGGAACAAAGGTTGCATATCACGAGCAATGGGTAGACTACCGAGCGAGGCGTTACGGAAGATTTAAAGGGATATGCAGCTGGAGTGGTGGGAGCAGAAGACTGGGAAGGAGTTGGAACCATTTTGGTCATTAACCATGAGAAAGAGAGAGGGGAAAAGGAGAGAGAGAGCGTGCAAGAGACAAAGATAAAAGGGAGGTAGAGAAAAGGAGGAGCGAGAGAGGCATAGAGAAAGGGGAATGGAGTGAGACAGAGAGGGACAGCAAATCACAGGGCAAGGACTTGCCCTCTTTATGCCTCAGTTTCCCTAACTGGACAATGGGTAGGATAATACTGAGCCTCCCCCTCCTCCTCTAGGCCCTTGCGGGGCCTAACCGATTCATATCCTCCAAGGCGGATGCTACCGAAGTGCAAGGATGATTATCGTGGTTGGAAGTTACATATTGCAGAATCAAGGGAAAATACATTTTAGCAAAATCCCCAACAGAGCCACCATCTGTCTGGCTTTTAAGGCTGATTTTTGAGCAGGAGAGATCTCTTTGGCACGGGCTGAAGCACGCTTCACTGGAAGCGCACGCTTCACTGGAAGCTGCGGAACTAAAGCCAAGGGGGCTGATTCGCAGTTCTGCTAAGGCCCCTTTACCTGACTCTGGCAGGCCTAAGGCCAGATTAGGAAAATGGGCCTCGGAGTCATTGAGAATCAGGCCCCGAGGCTCCAATGACAATAAGAACTGCAGACCCAATTCTCCACTGCCCTGCGCCTTGTCCACTCATTTAAACTAGTGCAAGTGGGTAAAGATCACCGGGGCACGCCTCATCACACCAGTATGACAAGGCCTTACAGTGGGTGTCATGGCCTCTTTTGTGTAATTATTTGCTCTTGTGCAAAGGGAGTGGGAAATGCTCCCAAACCCAAATGGTAGCGTTTTACATGCAATTCGCATGGGTGTAAACCACTGCACAATGCACCAGACAAATAGAATCAGGCCTGTAGGTTTCTGTGATCCCGTCTCAAAGGCATCGCAAATTCTGGGCCTGATTCTCTGTTGCCTTGAACCTCGCGCTGTCAATCTATACCAGTGCAAAAGTGAGCAGGAAATGCTGCCCATTCTGATCTGGCAGCATTGCACACACACTTTGCATGACAGGTGTGAGAGTCCATGGAGAATCAAGCCCTCTCCCTTTGGCACCAAACTGGCACCTCTCGCTACTGCATGACACAGAGGTACCATCTAGAGCCCACTGCACATGACTCCCTGCCATTGTACTCTGCCTTCCCTTGACGGTCACTATGGGTCTTCTGTGCTTCTGGCACACATATAGTGGGTTCTCTCACACAGCATCCCAGCTCCTCCAAGGCCACAGCCAATGCTGGCTCCTTCCCCCTTTGCTTCGTTAACCACTCACTGCTCTGGCCCTTATTAAATCCACCATTGCACCAGCCACCAATTCACATGCTAAGGTGCAAGGTGTCAGGAGTGCCCCAGTGCGCCACTCTGTAGCCCTCATGCTGCAGCGAAGAGAAGGGGGTCAGTGCATTAATCTCAATGGGTGGAGAAATAGAGAGGAAGGCCGGCCATGGGGTTAAGGTATCGGTTTGGGTATCAGGTACATGGGTTCCATTCCTGTCTCTGCCACAGACTCCCTAAAATAGCTACTTAATCTCGTTGTACCTTAATTCCCCATTAGTAAAATGAGGACAAGGCTCCCTGTCTTCATCCTTTATTTGTATTAAACTAACACATGCATTCTATGATGCCTAAGGGGTTTAGGAACACAAGTCCCAAATCTCCCCATGGCGCTGTACATACATGCTCACAGTTCCCAAAGATCTTAGGGTCCAGGGAAAAAAAGGAAGAAGGGGGCAAGTGAGACACACAGCAGGGAAACTTTATGCTTTAGACAGGGTCTACCTAATAGGCTGTGTCTACACTACACACAAAGCCTGGGCTCTGACTCAGGTTTGAGCCCAAGCTCCACTTCCGTCCACTCACAGATCAGTCTGACTCAGGTCAGCAAGCACTTAGGACCTGCGTCTGAGGACCGTGCCTGTGGTGTGGGTCAGAGCCCAAGTCCTACTGGGACTCGGGTCCAATCCCTATCATTTTGCAGTGTGGATGCAGCTCAAGCCTGAGTCAGAAGGTCAGCATAGTGCAGTGTGTATGCATTAGCAGGGCTGAAGCTGGTAGCTGTCAGAGCCAGGATCCTGGAGGAGGTGAACCTCAGATCCGATCCCATCTGACAGTTCCTATGATTTGTCTTCCTGGTCATCCAGCGTCTTAATGGCAGAGCCAGGATGGAACCCAGGTCTTCTACCTGTACTGGCCTACTCACTGGGTCAGTTGCCTGCCTTGCCAGTTCAGGGTGGAAGCTCTAGGGCAAGGACTGTCTCTTCTTGTCTACATTGAGAAATTAATTCAGATTAAGGTAGGGTGCGAGTTTAAAGCGGAATAGTTATTCCTGATTAACTTCTTGCATGGATACTCTTATTCTGGAATAAGAGGTCCCTTATTCCAAAATAGCTTAATCCGCTTCCAAAATGGATTAAACTAATTCACTTTGGAAGTGGATTAAACTAATTTGGAATAAGGAACTCTGATTCCTGACTCGAGCCTCCACACAGGGAATCAAGCAGCCAAAGTTAATCAGGAATAGCTATTCCAGAATAACTCCCCTTACTATGTTTGTACAGCACCTAGCGTCACGGTTCCCCAATCTCAGTCGCAGAGCTAAGTACTAGGATATTTCATATCAATAATAATAGCAGCTTGCCCCTTCTTTCCAAGGAGCATGGGAGGGCCAGTACGCACACCAGTCCCTTTCTTCCTGCAGGCACTGCTCTTTTCTCAGAGACATGCTGAACATTTGGATACTTTAAACACACCAGGGTTGTCTCTTCCGGTGTCCCAACACATCAGATACAGCCCTCAGCTGGTAGAGCCTTCACCACCGCTGCATCCCCACTGTCCTAATGACCTTGTCCGTGCGTTTTTCCACATCGCCTGTCAGATCTGGAGGGTCACTGCACTTGTGACCGCTTCCCCCATCCTCCCCACCCGCCCTGCCTCTAAATTAGCTGTCATTAACAATGTCGACTAAAGAGGCGTCCTTTGCTGGACAGATTCTCTATTCCTTTTGCTGCTGACAAATGGGAGCGCTGCCTGCCCTTATCTGCTGATAAGGCCACCGGATCCGTGGCAGGCTGCATCTTATTGCACTGTGCACTTCAGCAGAGGGCACGGCAAATGGAAACTGAAGAGCGTTCAGAGGATTGGCTTCTTATTGGATTGAAGAGCCTGGGTCAGGGAAGATTAAAGGGCTTGATTCTCCATTGCCCTGCAGCTTGTGCAGCCATTTGCACCAATGCAAAGCTGGGGTGTAAAACACCGCCATGCTGTTGTGTTTATTTTGCACACTCTTTGCACTGGTGCAAATGGCTGCTGGACAACCAAGAACCAGATCTGTCAAAGAGCAAACGACCTCCGGGTGCGCCTGCAACATCCTGCCATCAATCTCTCCCTCTGTCAGCCCCAGAGCTATTCTCACAACAGATCAGTCTCACATGCATGTAAACTCACTCCCAAATCCCAGATTTCACTACCGGAGCCTACTCTGGTCTGAGCTAGCCCCAGTCTTTGCAGCTTCCTGCTGCTCTGTATAGGGGAATCAGCCAAAACCCTGCTCAGGTGCGTGCCTCCTTTGGGACTATGGTTGGCAGGCCTCCCCCGTTACAAGGCCATAAAGACTGTAGCATGCCTGATGGTCATTTTAACAACTGGGCCCCGATCCTGTTAAACCCTTTCTCCCACCAGTAGTCCAATGACACACCCACAGGAGTAAGTAATACTCAAGAGAGAGCAAGGATTTGCAGGATTGGGCCTTTACCATTCAGACTGAAATAGGCCCAAGTCTCATTTACCCTAAGGTCTCTTTACATGGCCGTGGCGGCGTAAAGGGGTTTCAAAATGGGCGGAAATCCTTTCGTACTGCCAGACATTGGCGTAAAGGGGCCTTAAGTGCAAATGAGGATCATGCCCTTAGAATCACCCTCATGCAATTAGGGAGGGCAAAGAGGACCCAAGCAACCAATACAGCCAATCAAAAACTAAAGCAACGCCCCACAGACTTTGAATGCTTGCAAACAGCTGATGGAACAAGAACCACGTTGCTGAAATGACCCAGCCCAAAATTTTGAACAGCAAATAACTCTCGACAAAATTGTCAGAGGAGAAATAAAGCTTGAGGGAGAAAAAAACTGCTCTTGAATAATGTCCATCCATTAGGAAAAAAGCTGTAAGGTGTCCTTTGGAGGGAGGGACTGTCTCTCACTGTGGGTATGTTCAGTGCCTAGCGGAATGGAGCCCTGAGCTCACCTGGGGCTTCTACCATAAAGTGACACTGCATCAAGTTGGGGAAGCAGAGGAGACCCCACCAGTGAGCTAATAAATCTCTTTTGTTGTCCGGCTCTAACATCAGGATATGTATCTGGGTGCTACACATGCACATGAAGAGAGACAGTCCTGGCCCTGATGAATTTATAATCTCATCCACACGGACACTTAGCTCACAGCAAGCTGGGGTGAAAATCTACCCCACCGTAGCCTGCCGCACGCCAAGGTTACATCTACACTGTGTTCTGGAGCCCGCAGGAGCTCCACAGACTCGGGCTAGCGGGGCTGATGGCGGTGCTCTGAAAGCAGCCCTTTGAAGCTGTGGCTCAGGCTGGAGCCCAGGGAGCGGGGTGGT